ATTTTCTGTCCTTTAAAATCTGCTGCCTTAGATGGTTCTCTCATACTGTCTAATGGTAGGGTTGGCCCTGAACAGAATAATGTAGTTAAAATGGAAAAGGGGAATTTGGTAAGGATGGGAAGGACTGAAGGGAAAGAATTGTGCGATTCCATGGCTACCTCCCAATCAATGATGAACACTTAAATGAAAGTCAGTGATTTGGAGCTATGTTTCGCCATGAGCTGAGATCGTCAAGCAAACATCAGTGCCAGCCAGTGAGCTCAGCATAAACTACTCTTTTGGCATGCCGCTGTGACAGGAGTTTTTCAAGTACTTCTGGTGCTGTGCAAATGTTGATCTACACCGAATTCAACATGTGGTTGAGATTGGCAGGGACTGCATGAAAACCATTCCTGCCCCTTTTTGAGAAAGGTGAGAGTTGCAATAATCGGAACAGATGCAGTGTTGTGATTTGCTCATTCTGCCCTAGTGTTGTCATTGATGTAAATTTCAGGCACATCCCCTCAGGATGTCATTTCAAAGGGTTAGTCTTGTTCACTTGAATTGCTGACTACTGACACACCAGACTCTGAAGCAACTGTATAAATTTCTCCAAGCAAAATGAGGCCTTAGCTAAATGTGTATGTACAGCCATATGCCAAATCTGTTGTCAGTTTAGATGACTGCTCTGTGTATCTATGCTCTTAAATTTTAGCATTGTGAATCATTTGGTTTTACTTAAAGAGCCAGGCAACATTCACAGTAGCTTCTGAGTGAGCATCTCAGGGTCTAGGATCGCTAGGGAGCTGTTTCCAGGCTCAAAACTGGGTGGCACTCACATGGAGGTGAGAATGGGCCTTTAGATGGAGTCACTGGGGCAGCGGGTGTGAGCTTGGGTGGACTCCGGGGGATGGTGGAGGACAGGAGAGCCTGGAGGAATGTTGTCCACGGGGTCATGATGGGTCGGGCACAACTTTGAGACTAAACAACAACATAGGCACTGCAGCTTGCATGCTTCTTCCAGGCCAGAGGAAGTCTATGGTACTTGAATACATGGTGGCCCCAAAGTACTCATAATCATACCATCACAAATGTGAATCATACTCAAGAAAAAATAGTATACACATTTGTTTGTTTTTAACCATTCATTATGCAGCAAATCAATCTAAATACAAAACCACATCTCCAAGACCCGGAGTTTGGAATTACTCAAGCTATACTTTTAGATAGGAATCTTTATAGGCAATCTTTGGTCAAATAAAGTAGGCTTGCTTATCCAAAGACCAGGCAGTGCTTCATAACATTCCCATGCTTCCATGTGGGAAATGTCTGTGTTTAGTGTCAAGTTTTGATATATACGTATCTGTTCAATAGATTGTACTCATTATTTACATGCACTGGGGAAGGATGGCCAACTGCAGGGTCCCCCCAAGAGTACATGGGATCAAAAAGACATATTTGGACTCACCTGCACACGGATTTGCTGTATGTGTTTCAGTAAATTTTAGATACTTAAAACACTTGGTCCCTATGCTTTAATACTAGCACAATAACAGCAATAGCTAAGCTTTCTAAACCTCAAGATCAGGGATTTGGTATTATACATGCTGGTCTAACAGGATTAATTCTCTCCATCCTGCCTTTCCAGGATAATAATGCTGTCTTGTGTGATTGTAGGGAATTAAGCAAAAGAATACAATGGGTGAGTAAAGCGAAAGAATACAAAGACCTTCCTACAGACTTCATTGAATGTTGCAATTGCTAAAATAACGCACTGAGATTCCGTGTTGGAAGTGTCTGGGAAGAGATGACAGGGCTTTTCCAAGCTCAATGTTAAACAGTTTACTTTACAAATTCATAGTGACTGGGAGGCTTCAGATGGAACATTTTAGGCATGATTTCACAACTCAAAATCAAGCAATGATTTTCCAATGCCAAGACAACATACCATCCATTTCCCCCACCAGAATATTTGTTTATTGAGGACAGAAATGTAACATTAATGGTTTTCTGTTTTTTTTCCTGATTTAAAACTATACAGATAATGACACTTGAAGTTGAAGTTGAACACCTTCCACTGTCTCATATTCACTTACAACAGTGCAAATTTATACTGGTTTAGCTTTCATCCTTTCTTCCCAAGAAACTTTGTGAGCTGAAGGATTGTAATGGGGTCAAAGTTTTATTGATCTTGACCAGAATTCTCAATACCCTCATCGTACTAGAGTTTTTGAAGTTATTTGAGGGCAGAGGAGGAAAATGCGTACCTCTACCAGCAATCATTGCACTGCAGATCCAATCTTTCCTCACCATCAGCTGTGCTAGCACAGGCTGATGGGAGCTACAGTTCAACAACATCTGGAAGGCCACTCATTGATAACCTAAAGGTTGCTGCTTTAGAGGAGCACATGACTATTAAACTGGTGTAAAACCAATCAACTGTACATAACCAACCTAATCTAAGATAGAGTTGCATAATTACATCCACAAGTGCAGGCTCCAGGTTTTGGGGGTCCCTTGAACAAGACACCTTCTTGGGCCCTCTCTCTTAAAAGCTCTACATTTGCACCATTGCTCCATATCTTATTTTCTTGCTTGATGGGTAGACAGCTGGTGAGCAAGCAGGCAGTGGCAACTCCTGGTCTTTCTACTCACAATGCTATTGCCTGGGCCAGAGTTAGAAGCGGGTGAATGAGCCCACTGCAGTGCTTAAGGGAAGGTGCCATTCCAGAGGATTTTTGTTAGCAAGTCCTTGCTGGGGTGTGGCCCCTTGACAGGGACCTGATCACGTGTATCTTCTTGATGTCTGCCATCAACCCAGTTGCCTTTATGCTATTCAGATAAACATTTTATTCTAGTGATTATTACAACTGATACATCTGAGGGAAGACATCATGGAATGGGGCTCCCTTTCATGTATCAGCCGTCATATGCTGTCACAGTAGTTCTGCTTATATTTGCAGGGCTGGCTCCAAAAGGTAGCACTGGGGGGCTTTTAGTTAAACCAGCAGCATTTGAGCTGCGGGGTTTCACAAGTTTCCAGGCTTTTCCTCCCACTGATTAGTATTTTTGCATCATTCAGCTTCTGGATAAGGGCATCCAATGTTTAGGGTGAAGTGTTATCCAGCTCTAGTTCTCTGTGAAATCAGGTGTGCAGCTTGAACTAACCTTGTCATTTGTTTAGCCTTTCTCAAGTCTCAAAGGCCTGGATCCATAATACCAGAAGGAAGGCCTCCTTCCGTAGCAAGTTACTCATGTATTAATATAATGAGATGAGGCCCTTCACCAGTTACCATCAATAGGAAAGGTGCATTATGCATACACAAAAGAGAGGGCATTTTCTGTGGTGATTCCACACATCTGGAATGCTCTCCCTGGGGAAGTTCGACTGGTATAGAAATTATATTCTATTTGACACCAGGTCAAAGCATTTTCTACCTGGGCATTCCTATGGCTATGACCACATGTACTGCCAACAGTTCTATTTATACACTGCATGATGTAATGAATATATGAAGCAAAAATCATCCTTGACTCTTTGAATCATCCACTTTTCTACTTAGTACTTGCAATTAGTACCTGACAATCTGATGCTCTCAACCTGAAATATCCACAAAGAAGGGGAGCTTCCCATTTGATCTTCTTCTTATAGAACACCCTTGGATTACTAGGATGGTTTTGAAGCAAGACAAAAGCCAATAGGGATGTGGTTAAGGAGAATGCCCTCTGGAAACCATGGCAGCTATTTGAAGACCCATAAGGAAACAATGGGAGCTGCCAATATTAATTGACATTGCTGGCCTCCAGTGAAGTCAAGGCAAGCTTTAAATACACTAAAGCAAGGAGTGGATTCTGTGAGGGAAAAGACTGGGTCACATGGATGGAAATGAATTCAGATGTATTCAGATTCACAGGGATGGAAATGAATTCAGATGCACTGTGTTGACTTGTTTTATTCTTTTAAACATTGATTTTGAATTTTGCTTTCACATGATTTTATTATCATTTTATTATCACTTTAGTATTATCATTTGCACTTCTAAGCAGTTGAATGCTTGAATGATGGCCCAGGGATTGGAATGACTGTATGGCCCTAAGAACAGAACAGCTCTGCTGGATCAGATCAAAGGCTGATCCGGCCTAACATTCTGTTCCTGTCATTGCCAACTAAGTCCTAGGACAGGCAGACTGCAGGTTTGCAAGATTTACTTCACACTAGTGGTTTTTACTAGAACTCCAAGCAACACCGATCAGAGCCTTGTGCAAAGACATATATATTTGGAAAGAAAGAAGGTTTCACTCCATTTCTGGTATTCACTTCACTTCCTTTTGGGTACCAGAATGGAATGGGGCTCGCTGTTCTCCACTCAACACGAAAATCCACCCCTGGTTATGCATTCTTCATTTTAGTAGTAGTATACAATATAGGGCCAGGAAAGGGGCGTCCTTTTGCTGTTCCTCATGCTAAGCAACTGGGAGTCAGAAATCTCACGCAAAGATGTACGAACAGATCCAGGTCTGCTTTCTGTTCCTCCCTGGCAGGACATCGCACAGCGTGCAGCCCTCCCAGTCCTGATTCCAGCAACTGGTGCTTCTTAGCATTCTGCCTCCCTGCCTGGGAGGTAATATACAGCCATCAGGGCTAGTAGCCACGAAAGCCTTATCCCAATGAACTGGTCCACGTTCCCTTTCAAGGCCGTCCAAGCTGAAGCCCTTCGCAGCTCCCCCGCATGTACTGCAAACGATCCTGTCCTTCCCCAGCCGGCTTCTCTTTCGCACGCCCCCCAGCGGCTCCCTCGACAACCATCCCGCCTGGAGTCCCAACCGGCACAATTAAAGAACGCACATTATTCCCTACATGGAGCTGAATCCCTTGTCCAAGCCCGCCTCCAGCCACGGTTTCTGTTCTCCTCTCTGCCTTTTTTTTTTTTTTTGGCGTAGCCTCTCCCCTTTTCCTGAGATGAGGTAATGCGGGGCTCCGATTGGTTCGGGAGGCGGCACCCCAATAGCCCGAGAGGGGCGCGATCGAGGCTATAACTTCCCGCGGCAGCAAGAGCAGAGCAGCGGGAGAGGGCAAGTTGCGCAGCGCAGAGCCGAGTCTTGCTTTTTTCCTGAAGGCAGCAAAAGGGCGACGAAGAAGCCGAGCAGACCGCACACTGCACGAAAGTCCTGCCAAATCCAGCGCGCTTTCGCCGAGAAGTCGAAGGGAGCGCGAGGACGCGGGAGAGGCTGCAGCAAAACTCGCCACGCTTCTTGAGAGAGCCTCTTCCTCTTCCACCACCACTCCCCTTTCCGCTTCTCGGCGTGAGTGGAGAGAGCGCCAAAACGGGGCAGTAGCATCCGCAGCATGTCGGGGTGGGTGCTGAGCCTTTTTGCGCTGCTCTGCAGCTGGAGCCTGAGCGACTTGCTGGTGGAAGCGTGTACCTGCGTCCCCGTTCACCCTCAGGATGCGTTTTGCAACTCTGACATTGGTAAGTGCGTCCCCCTTCCGTTTCTCCCCCCCCACTTCTAAGTGCAGCATCTGTTGGACACCGCGCTTGTTGCAAATCCGAAGAAGTCGTACTTCCTTTTGGAAAGCGCACAGGCCTGTCTTTGTGTTTACCACTAAACTTAAAAACGGGTTACTCTTAAGCGATGTATTCAAGTTTAAGCACTGCATGGAAGTGTTCACTCTCTCCCTGCTGTTAGGTTGCTTTGTAGGCTAATCAGGCACCCAACTTTAAAAAATGCACGCCAAACCTCACTTACAGGATGGTCCTCTGCACGCCTCCTTCCTAGTATGTCCCACTGAGTTAAGTGAAATTTATTCCCAGGTAAGTGTGTCTAGGATTGTAGAGGGAACATTTTTCTTCACTCTCACTTGTTGGTTCTTTTCCTTGTACACTTGTGAATGACACTTTGCATTTTGTTCCAGTAGCAATTATAGTTACTGATGTCTAGAAAGTTTTGGGACACGGTATGGGCTATGATGTCATGGGTAGGCTTTTGGAAAAATAGCAGAAATGGAAGTAAAC